GATCACTGGGTGGTGATCAATGTCATGTGTATCAAGTCCTTAGTGCAATGTCGAGTCACATAGACTAGTGACCACATTCCAACTTGATCGATAGCATTCGATCTGCATTAAGAAGGTCTTGAAAGATGTGATATTGATAACCACCCAGTGTTTTGGGTAAAAACAACAAATACCAGTCTGTAAATTATCTAGTTAAGTAAAGTATATGATCTGTCATCCACTCTTCTGCTTTAAATAGAGAATAATAGACCATAAATTTAGAAGCTTTAGCTTAAAAGTTCAATATAAATCACGATTGTATCCATACAATTATGCATGGTCTGATGATTTCAAAAGGCCTTGGAAAAAAACACCAAGATCGTCAAACAGATTTTGTTAATTCTCCATATAAGTTAAAGAAAATTTACCGAATTATTTTGTCGGAATCTCTTAAAAATTTCCACACAAAAAAAGGAAACACTTATCGGCATAAGTATTTTTACTGGTTGAAATCATGAATCCATTGAAGCTAGACCACCATGGAAAACCTGGAAGCACTGAACGGCCGTTTCGTCCTAGTATGGGACTCCTCGGCATTTTACACTGACTACTGGATGCATTTTTTCAAAGAAGTCTTGAGTGATCTTACAAGATTAAAAAATTTTTATATCTATCAGATTAGGAGGCTGTTATGTTGAGATAACCGTGTTAAACTCATTTGTATTCATTTTTCAACATGTTTACATAACGTTTATGAATTTCTTTTTAAGCCAAACTCTAATATTAATCTTACAAAATCTGGAATTCCTGTTAATAAAATATCACATTTAAATTATATTGAACCATATAATTTGGATTTACGTACTGTTCAATGTCCAAAAGAACATGGTAACAGTGTTGAAAGTGGCGGTAATTTGTCGTCATCTCGAGCAACTACACTGACAACAACATCAGTATTAAAAACTGGGTCAGCTTTTCCTATCTTATCATCATCATCAACAACAACAGTAAATTCCGATATTTCATCCAATGTTACAGGTTCATTTATTACTGCTATTACATCTGTTTGTTCGAATTCATTTGATAAGCAGTTATCAACAAATGGTTTACAACAAACAGTAATTATGTCTTTGACGCATCCTCATTCTTTGTCTTCTTCTTGTTCTACCACTACTACCACTTCTACTAACATCAATCCTCTACTGTCTCCTCCTCAGTCGGATTCATCTGTATTCCTAAAATCAAATAAAACTTTAATGTCTTGTAATGGTACTAGTAATACTACTGCTGCAATTGCTAGTAGTAGTGCTAATCAACCAGATGATGAACATATTGAATATCGTGAAATTGATCCGATCAGTACAAATGCTTTAGCTATTGTCAAAGAACGATTTGGCTAATCTATACGCATAAATTTATATATAAATATTTATTCCATTGTTTAGATATATATCCTTCTTTGTTGAATATGTTCATAACAAGATGGAAACTATACTGTTGAATTCTTATAATTATTAATATATGTCAGAAGATTTCAATATCCATTATTGTGTACTCAATTTAGTGAAGAAAATAAATGATGAATATATGTATACAGATAATAAACTTCTACTGAGATCAACTACGACATACACACACACAGGCATACCGTAGCAATACCAATATACCTATGTCGATTTTTTATTTTGTATTTGGAGTTGCTTTTTATCAATCATTCAATTAAACGTTAATGTAAATTTATAATGAGTGTGTGTGTGTGTGTATATGTGTGTATCTTCTTTTATTACATATCCCTCTTACATGAATCTTGATTCCTGCATTTTCTGGTTATGTATTCCTATTTTATTTTCATGTGAATACGATCTCACATACACATACACATACACACACACACACACACGCTCGAACATTTTTTTAACTGGCTAATTTTTATTTATTGGTTTATAATTACTTGATTAATCAGAAATTTTACATTTTTATTGTTATGTAACATTCCACTGATAATGATAATTTACCAGGCAAAAATCTACATTTTCAATATCATTTCTATTGGTTGAGCTTTGTCAGTATTATTAAAATGTAAATGAATTACTCAATCTAAAAGAAAAAAAAGTATGTTCTGCTCTTATGTGAAATTCTCTATTATCTTAGTAGATTATTTTTAGTGGCTAAAATATCAAACGATTACCGTCTACGACGCTGGTTTGAGATATTTGTTTACCTAGGCTGACTCATGATTGTAAAAATAGAAGTTATGAATCAATGAGACATATTTGAGTATTAATACCTTTGAAGCACTGTCTTCGTATAGTATTGCAATTTATCATTGTAGGATTTTACTAATTTTTCGACGAATTTTCCAGATAAGTCCCTATATTTTGCTTATAGATTCTTAGTTGGGCTATAATTAAAAAAGGTAACTATGTATCTTATCAACAATTATAATGTTTTTTTTGTCTATTGATAATTTTAAAAGCGTGCAAAATGTCGATGGGGTATGCCCGGTGTCAAGTAAATGCCGACTGTTGCACTGTTGAGAGTCTTAGTCCCTCGAAGCCTAAAGTTCTTTAGAACATGCTCAGAAATGTGAACATGCGCTCTTCTTTTAGTTCTTCCAATGTATGTGCTTTGGCACGTACATGTTTTTTTCAAAATGTAAATTAATATAATTGGTGCAAAAATGTAAAATAGTAAAGTCAATTACAACTACAACAATAAATACACGCCTATCAAACACTAGCAAGGAGACAACACAATGAATCAATAAATAATGTCGTGTTAAAATAATAACTAGTGCAGTTTTATGATTGGCGGTAAAATAAAACAGGTTAGAATAATAATCAGCCTGGTACCAATAAGTCCTAAATGATGAGCGTTTAACTCAATTATTATTGGTTGATTCACTCTTATCGATATAGATTAACAACCAGTGTACCTATGATATAGTAATAGTAGATAGTTGAAATAAAAAGTGATGTACTACAAGTGGTGATCACTAAAGATATACTTATTATGAAAAACTCTAATAAGTATAGGATTATGCCGCTAATTCTAAGGTAACAATTAAAAAAGTCAGAATATGCGGTACTGTTATAAAAAATGAAATGAACTCAGGGTTCGTACATTTTCATTAATATGGTTCTCAGTGTAGGGAATGCCCTCAAAAACAATCTTAACGAAGGTAGCATGACTAAAAAAACATTCTTCACCACACTATCTACTATCATGAAAAATAGCACATCAATTCAGCGTGAATATCAGCGATTAACGCACTATAACGTAAACTTCATACATTATAATCAAAGTCCCCAATAGTAAAAAACAATAGAAACAAAATACGGAGGAAATACGAAGTAGAGAATATGAAATATTAAGCGGAGGTTGCTGACTGATTGGGTAACTTGTTCAACAGGTCAAAATTCGCACCGATATACGCCAATCAAAAAATGATTAAATATAATTCAAACTACTGAGTAACAATAAGTAGTTTGATGTAAAGCAGGAAACATCAGTCTCGGGTGAAGCAATTTGGAAATACAATTGAACTCTCCCCTGAATTGAAGGGGATTAGTAGCTCCATTAGTTTCCTATAGTCTCAATAACAGCCAGATTTTCAACATTTAACTACTAGATAAGTCTGAAAAGTCTACTGTAACTTATTGTTACTGTCTTTTCCTTTCGCTACCCACTACGACTCAAGATCCATAGGTAGGCATTTTATCAGCCGGCATCTAAGCTGCCTTCACTACTCGTTGTGTTTTTAGCCAGATTGGATGTGTTTCCAAGGATCTATTAGTTCAGTAAACACTGTTCAAGTCTGCTAGTCTCTTAACCTTTAGTTTCAAGTTGATGGTAGATACCGCTGCTGCTCCCACAGCTGTTTGAATATCATGGCAAACTATTTCGAGGTGGATATCGCTTACAAGGTTGGTTAGTTCATTTTCTAGTTGTACCTGAAATATATTCTTGACTTTTTGATCATTAAGTTTAACATCAAGGGTTTTCTTGCTGTCAATCTTCTTCATCCAAGAAAGCGTAGGAAAGTACGTGCTCGTACTAAAGCATGTTCAGAGTCTAAACATGTGCTCTTGAACGAGTCAGTCTTCTACGGAGCCTCTCCAACGGTGGCTGAGGATAGTGTGTTCTATTCAAATCCATAGTTGAGTCGATTATGGGGATTTCCATATCAGATAGTGTTTTCCTTTATGCTTAAGCTTATAGCTTGCTAGAAGCATATGATCATTTGAGCATAGTTGTAGCAGATGATCTCCATTGTCTGGTACCTGAGTCACGACACCGTGAAATTCATCTAAGTGTCTTTCAGATAAATCAGTGAGAAAAGTTAAAATTTTCATCTAAAATCTGTCTAATAACTAATGGAATGAAATATCAAAAATCAGTTAGCATCGACACGAGTGTTTAACATGACTGAACGTTGAATGAACTGTTTATAATACTAATACTACTAGTACACATAATAATAAAAATAATAATTACTTTTGTTATATATTAATTATAATTTGTAACCTAAATTTAGTCACGAAACGTCAAAAATTCAATGTTCTCTTCAGTGGGATATTATAAATAAATTTTAGTAGCCTGTTGTGTTCGCCTGTGGTGGCGGGCTCACCATTTTTGTGGCCCGTGATCTGACTCCAATTTGATCGTAATGATTGGTTGCTATCGTCTATCCTCGTATATAATCATTGACTTAAATCGCGTTAGTTAATAACGGAATTAAATAAGTCAAATAACGAGAATAGAGTTTTGAATGCATATATTTTGTATAATTGTTGATTAGACGAACGAACGGAGGAACGACACTACAAAATAATTACTTTCCTATTATTTACAATCAGTGTATTAACTTCTGTCTTCATTGTAATAAGTTACCATGTAATTATATACATATACGTCGTTTGGGAGTTCTATAAGCCTATGAAATGCTAACAATCCTACGTCGCGCTAAAGTAAACTTCGAATATTTTGTGATCCTTCGTAGAAATTGAATAAATAGTAAGTTGTAAGTAAGAATCTTTCTGTATATAAGTAGTTTTAATCGGACGTACAAGACGTACAACAGATTACTTTTAATAGTTACGTTCTTTGAGGTAATGCAAAATCACTTCCATTAATTGCGTGCAAACCACATGAAGAATAACAAAAAGTGGAAAATCCAAACACCATCTACAAGATAAACTGAGAAATATTACATCAGAGAGAGTTATTACTCTCTTCATCTTCAGGGACATAATTAATTATCATGAGCCAGAATGTCTCTTCACTCATTTTATTTATGAAAATACCTGCGACTGGGAAGAGAAAGAATATAGAGATCAGAGGACTTTTAGAAATATTTTACTCAGGTCAGGCAAAAATCAGTAAAAGTACATTGATATAGATCTATTTTATCAACCAATCAGAAAAATTATAAGGTCAAAGATCAATTCAAGGGGAAGGACAAAGTAAGTCTACAGACAATGACAGAAAAAGAATTAAAATCTACTAATCAAAATCATGGTTCATAGAGCAGCATTTCAAAAAGAACACCAATTTGTAATTCGATCTATTAATCATATCGTAAATACTCATGCAAATATTTCTTATGTAGGGAATTGATTGAAGTTAGACATGTAGACCGTTTAACACAGGTTCAGTGTTCTGGAGTTAAGCACTTTCCGTGATATCTGAAGACTCAGAGTCAAGCACCTAATGTGGTCATGGATTCTTACTAAGAGAGGCCCCATATTAGAACAAAACAGTTGTCCAGTGCTTTCCGGATATCAGCGATTATTATTTTTGTGTTCAGTTTTTAGTGTAAACCACAAAACTTCTTATAATTTCCCAAACAATTTTTAGAAAACTTTTCAGTAGATTGATAAAGTGACATAATGAGACAACAATTAAGAAATCGTATAAATGAAGATTCTAATGTCAAAAAGATAAGATTGATCATTAAATTCACTACAATAGTAATCAAATAATTTATTGAAGTGTTTAATTTGAACTTATTACTTCTATGTACTTTGTAATAAATTAAAAACGTGGTAATTTTATAAGAAAATTTGACTAAAATAAACTATACTGCCCCCAAATGCCCTGGTACGGCCGAGAGTGGGGAGAGTCCACTCTCCCTCTCGAAATGCTCTCACATGGCCATGCGTATATAGCCTCTGCCAGGGAAGTCCTACTCACTGCCTTCTCGTGGCGGGGGTGTTGTTGACAAAAATGAGAGGACGAAAAGCGAATGTCTGGCGCTTTAACCGGATCCCAAACCAATGGTGCACATGGGCTGGCTCCAGTATCCTGCGGGAACAAATGGCGTATGAACCAATCGTTGGTCACCGGCTACCATGGGACTGAATCTCCTCACGATGCTCCACTGCCTTGTGGGTCAGACGTTCAGGTCAAAGGCTCGGAGTGTGGCTCCCTAAGAAAACCACCTGCTTTGGACTGGGCACCCGGGCAGTATCACAGCCCTCACACAAATCAAATGAGATTTGTGTGGCGCATATGTATTTGATGCCTCTTTGTACCTATACTTATGTGTTAAAATAAAATAAAATAAAAATAATACTGCAAACCTTGAGCAACTTATTATCCAGTTAAAATACAGTTTAGTTATAAAACAATATAACTAATTAACCATTATATATTAAATCAAAAGAAAAGTTTATATATTAAGAATTATGTGAATATTGTGAGTTCAGGTTTTAATCCAATCGAGTTTTAGTCATAATTAGTTATCAGTTAAACTGTAGAAGACTTTGGTGAGAAGTTCAAAGTTGAATTCAAGTAATGGGTTTGAATTACGAATTATGATTCGAGTTTACATCCATCATTGACATCAGAACTGGTATAATGAAACTTTGTAACTTTCTTGTTTATAAAATTAAGAAAGACAGAAGAATATTATTGAATTACATAAACAGTTTTAAATATTCATTGATTTATATCAAATATTTTAACAAACAATCTACATCAAGAGAAAGTATTTCTTTTAATTTAGTTTAAACACTTTATCATATTTGGTTTGGTTATGCAATACATATTTATTATCAATTTCAATGATTTTAAAAATTTAATACTGTTAATTTCAATTTAATTCATTAAATAATATACAAATTATCTTTCAAGGAGTTTATGATTTCGGTCAAAAGCAAAACTCTATAAGGCATCATTTTAATTCTGATTGGTTCATTCAAAGTTGACATTGTTTTGTTTTTTTTTTCGTTAAACATACTAACAATATTTATGATTGGTTTAAATATTATTACTATTTTTTTGTTGCTAAGCACTGATATATTTTCTTAGAACAAATAATAGAAAATAATTAATAAGATGATCATTATTTAAAATCATTAAAAATGACTAGAAGTACAATTAATACAGATGAAAGTTATATAGCATATCTTACAGAACGTAAGTTTATATAACTATTTTATTTAAGTTTTCTATGTTTTATAACTTATTATATATCACATTACTTATATATTATTGTACCACACCTTTAGTCCTGGGTTCGAATCCTGCGGGCGAGATCGTGGATGCGCACTGCTGTAGAGTCCAAAAATAGGACGAAACGGCCGTCCAGTACTTCTAGGTTTTCAATGGTGGTCTAATACCAATCAGTTCATGATCTCAATCAAAATTAATTTATATTCTGAACAAGTTTATGGCAGTATTATTGATTTGTGTAGTTAAATAAATGAAATTAGATATCGGAAGTAATATACTGTAGATAGTAGATGTAATATCACATACATTTGTTACCTCTCGTAAAGGACATAGGCTATCTACCAGAATTCTCCTGGGATCTACTTTCCTGCTTGTTCTCTGCTATAGTAGGTTGTTACTTATCGTATCTAGCCAATGGACATTGAGTATCCTGAGTAGGAAATTGTTCATAGGTACCTTGCACTTCTTTATGATGGTTATGGAAGTTCCAGCTCCATACATTAGAACTGTCTTAACGTTCTCCTTGAAGATCTTGACAGTGATATTGGCTGACAGTTGTATTGAGTTTCATATGTTCTTCAACTATAGGAATGCCACCCTTGCTTCGTCAATTCTTGCCTTCACATCTGCATCAGATTCTCCTTGTTCATCGATGACGCCGCATCTTCCAGTTTCTCCATCACGTATGATTAAATTGGTGTTCTTTGTGTTTATATTTCTAATCTAACTCTATTCTCTATGGAGTAAGAATAAAACCGGGTTCTACTGGTGAATAACTCTTTCCCGGAATAGGACTCTTTAGTGGCCCATATCAACGACCTTACACTTGTGACCTTTTCTCCCTCGTTTGAACGTTTAACCTTCAAACCGACAACCACTAGTGTATATATCAAACGACAATCAATTTGAAATATCGTTGTGAATTCAAAACACTTATCGTGCAACTAGTGTTTTATTAAACTACTGTTGAAAAGTCGAATAATCAATATATATATAATAGTGGATAACGTACGTCACTGTATGGTATTTTTAAAATACTTATTTAGAAACGTAATTAACCTTGGGACTGAGGGAGCGTCAATTAAAATATGTAGCTATTTCGCTTACTCATTTGTGTACGAAATTCACTCAATCCTATAACTGCTTATCTAGTTTAAGTCCAACTTGGTGGCCCTTCCAACCCATCAACGCTGATTCAATAATGACTAAATATTTACTACGCAAACGAAAGAAAGAACAAAGGAAGCAAACTATCACCGTGCTGTTATAAATGATGCCCTGTTAATTCTGTTATTTTAATTATCAGAATTGTTCACTGTTGATTTAGAAAAGTTGACGGTTTGGTCTTTTGTCCGATCTTTGATGGGACTATCATTACGATAACGTGGGTGCCCATTGTTGAGATATCTCAAGATTCCAATGGAAAAATTGTCAGCGAATTATCGTGAAATAAATACTGCACTGAACACGTAGTTATTTCGATTCTTAATCATTACTAAAATACTATATTCATCAAAAGAAGTTCGTGATAGTGTACCAAAAGTTAGCATTGTATTTTTAAGATATAAAGCGAGAGATAATTGTTACATTTCGAGGTCATCCATGACTGGTACTGATGTATACGACTTCCATATGTGAGCTCACCTACTTAGGTGATAGAATCAAGAGTAAGGAGTTTTCGCTACCTAACCGTATTAAAATAAATAGGCACAACCCATCCATAAATATGTGCCTATCTCTTACAGATTATTAAGCCAATAGTTTATGTCTATTTCCTGGGGAATTTAAGCCGGATCTTCGCCAATAACAAACTTCCGTCAACAACTCTTGTTTAGCATTTGGTCCAGCTCAGCATATTTCATTCCTTCTTGAAAAAACGTGTCTAGTTTTTGAATTTAGCTATAGAAATCAATGTGTAGATACATTAGTAGGTAATTAAAACAATTACAGAATTGAATATCACTCTGCCTAGCTCAATAATACTCACTAGCCGTCAAGATACAAAATGGGTGCTTTTAGAACAAGTACAACGTGAATAAATTATAAACACCAATTGTTAATTTAAACAAACAGTTAGTGATCAGTCATATTTTCTCAGTAGAGAGTAAAACTTTAAAAATAATCTTAAAATGGTTACTGATAATAATGAATTAAACACACTATACAAACAAAATTTCTCTGCTATAGATTATCACTTGAAATTATGTATTATTTATGGAACTTATACTTTATTTTTATTTTACGATTTATAATTGTTTTAAATGACCTAATTATTATTATTATTATTTTAACACATAAGTATAGGTACAGGGAGGCACCAAATACATATGCGCCACACAATTCTCAATTGATTTGTGTGAGGGCTGTGATACTACCAGGGTGCCCAGACCGAAGCAGGTGGTTTTCTTAGGGGGCCACACACAGAGCCTTCGACCTGAAGGTCTGATCCACAAGGCAGTGGAGCATCGTAAGGAGATACAGTCCAGTTCCATGGTAGCCGGTGACCAACGATTGGTTCATACGCCATTTGTTCCCTCTGGATACTGGAGCCCATGTGCACCATTGGTTTGGGATCCGGTTAAAGCGCCAGGCATTCGCTTTTCGTTCTCTCATTTTCGTAAACAACACTCGTGGTGTGAGAAGGCAGTGAGTAGGACTTCCCTGGCAGAGGCTATATACGCATGGCCATGTGAGAGCATTTCGAGAGGGAGAGCGGACTCTTCCCACTTTCGGCCGTACCAGGGCATTAATTCTAAATTTTATGGTTGGTAATTCCAAATAATTATTCCCGATAAACACAGGAATCATTTTCATAGGAGTAAACATATGAATAGACTTAAAAATCAATAAAACGTTTAGTAAGATATGACAATTATTAGCAGTTATAAAGGTTTGAATTTTTTTAATTGTTGATATTTAGAACTGCTTTTTCCAAACCTATGATCGATAACGTTATAACATTTGAAGCAATAAACACATGTATGCATTAACGTTATGATGCCGGTACGTGAGAATTCATATACAAGATGAAAATCACATTTTAAATACCACTATTAGTTTTGATAATCTTCAGTTTATAGAGAAAAAGAGCAAATTGGTAGACTGTTTAATACATTTGATAAATATTTTCTAAAGCCAATGTTAAGAGTAATATGACTATCTTTTTGTTTATATTAAAAGCTAGTAAACTACTATTAATGATATTCTAATATTCCCTTTCTTTTGTGTTTATCCTTTTTACAAGAACAAATCGGTGAATTATATCAACCGCCTACAAACTATCAATGTATTCCACACTTCTATACAACTCGAACAGGTTTAGAATGCCGTCGTTATTTTTGTGAGGTTTGTGGTCCACTTGCTAAATCTAACTTAAAAACTGGTTCACCGAATGTTAAATATACTGGAGCACTACAACGTCAATTAGATTGGATTGCAGGTACTACATTACCAGATGCTTTAACACGATCACATGAAGCAATGATATACTATAATGATCATAAATATTGAGTTGTTACACAGTAATAGCAATCAAAATATATATGTATGATTGATATCTGTCAGTATGAACATAAGTGTATTAATGAAATACACATTTTTTTCGAATAAACATACAAGATTTACAGGAACATTTACTCTGAAAAAACTTTCCTTGTAATTTTAGTTTTAGTCTAATTTTATTTACAATACTCACACAAATTATTCAATACTTAAAGGATAAAAAAAAACTTGAAAATGGGTTATATCCCGTAAAGTATTTTTACTAAAGTAATGTGGTAATATATATAAGGTCTAATCAAGTATTTACCACTGACGTAAGTATAGATACACGTACAATATTGCAAAATACGTCTTTCAAATGCAACTCTCATAAGAGTAGATAACTTGAATAGTTTTCAGGCAGATCCAAAACTATCTACAAAAAAAAAACAGAAACTGTCTTTGTGATTTTTTTTTTCTATTTTGTCCTTTGATTAATACAGATTTAAATACTCCTTAAAATATAACAAAATCAATTTCATAACAAATTTTCAATTGGAAACTATTTGAATGTTATTATTTAATGACAAAGTAGCTTGAGGTGCACGTTTATTCTGATCTCAAGAGAGAGAGAGAGAGAGGGAGAGAGTGGTGCAGAAGGAATGTAAAATGTAAATAACAAGAAGAGTTAAATCTAGAATTTATATCTGGTATTCATTGAATATATTCCTTAAACAGAAAGTCAATTTATCTTATTTGTAAAGTTAATGAAGTTTCATATAAATAACTTTTAAGGATATTAAATTACGGAATATTAATTGTTATAACAGTTTAAAATGTTTAATTAAGAAATAAGCGATTTTAACTGTGTACTAATCTACTGGATTACGTTTTTTACTTTGAAACAACGACGGGTATGTTTGATTTACAGTAGGATGACCTATTAGGAAGTTTGGTCAGTAGAACTGTTCTAACAAATATAATCAATACAAAATATGTAAAAGTTGTGAACACATATATTTTTGTTTTTAAAAAAATGATAACTGTTATAACAACAATGCAAAATAGATTAAAAGAAACTATTCAGGTCTCCATTCATCATTTTCCGATAGTTCATTGAAATATGATTGAATTTGATTCATATCTACTGAGGTAAGATTATTTGGATTCCATTTTGGTGTATTATCTTTATCAATAAGACAAGCACGAACACCTTCATAGAAATCGGGATTTTTAGTCATTTTTTGTGATAGGCGATATTCCATTTTAAATTCATCACTAAACGATAATTTAGAACCAATCTGTAATTGACGTAAAGTAACCTTAAAAATCAAAATAGTCAGTGACAACATGTCACGAATGATGATATTATTAACTAAGAATTTGTTGTAAAGAAACAATTAAATCGTTATACATAAATAAGGTAAGTTTGTAATCCTTAGTATCTCAAGTAAAAAATCAGAAACATACACATTAGAAAAAATGATTTAGTCAATGTTGCGTTCCAAAACTTTAATGTACTGTATGTACTATATATATATATACTTGGCATATTGTACTATGCCGTCACAGTAGAACTAAAGAATCACAATGAATCCATAAATCACACTAAATTAAAGCTTTCTGTAAAACAACCAACGTGCTACGAAATAAGTTAGTTTGGTTAAAAGAAAAACATCCATTTGATCTCAACACAACGTTATGTCAACACAGCAAAATGCGTCGATTATAGTTTCTGTGTCGAAAAGTTACCTCATGAAGCTATGACTTGTACCGAGGAACATGTAAAATATACAAAACGACTTAATAATCCTGAAGAGATTGAAAATCTACAAATCAAATCAGAAATAGCAGTACATGCTATTTTCAATAATCATCAATATGATATTAAAATACTATCAAAATAATTTGAAAAGTTATTTTTTTAACTTTAAAGAAAATCTAGTGACTGAAACTTTCCATACACTGGAAAACACTACTGCACTCAATAGATAGGAAAGTATAGCTATCAATTTGTTCTGTTTAAACTGACATAAATTCAATTCTCTGAAGCGACTTACAATAAGCTACGAAACATTAGAAATCTAATTTTCTACTGATTGAATATTATAAATACATATTTATTTCAACCTACTAATGCTTAGATTATTTGGATCTATCATGACAAACCTTGGTAATGATATTATTTGAGGTCGGCTGAAAAAATTAAACAGAACCGGTTTATCTAAATCCAGAAACTTACGATTGTAAGCACGAATTATTATTTGGAAAAAAATATAAAACGCCTAGGTATTTCCAATAACTCTATAATATCGTTTAATATAACTCTATTTGAAAAGAACTATAGATATCATGTGTCAATGTTCTCATAAAACTCAACTGAATGATAGTAAAGACAAACATAATAGTTAAGGTATAGAAACAGAAGGATGTTACAGATTAGAAGAGAAATCTGAATAGTGAATGCGTTAATCGTAATATAGAAAATTTAACACCATATCACTAAATTTTTCCTGTAGAAGAATATCATGATGTTTACTATTGTTAGCGGGACGTAGATTGGATTAAAGCATGCTCAATGCACGATTACTTTCGTGCACATTGATTGGTTAATTCTTATCCAATCAGCGCTAGACGATGCTTGGAGAATACTTTAGAAATCTTCTCATGTAAAAACTATAAATATACTAACGTTTTTCCTTTGGTGTTTCTTACTTCCATCTAACCTTGTTATTTGGAATATAATCTTTTTCCTGTCAACCATGTTCTGATTTGGGGATTTGTCGAGTGAATTGGTGTCCGAGAATACTAAGCAATAGGAATGGCTAGGTTGTAATAAGAGAAAATTATAACAACTATATATAAACAAACCCCAAAATCAACAGTCAATGATTAACTATCTATCTATTTGATACTCTACAACTTCTCCTAAAGAAATATTAAACAAATCAAATATAAATAATCCAAACATTAATAGACAAGATGGAATGAAAAATCAAACTATACTTTTAATGAAGTAGGTGAACAACTCAATAATTTATCATAAGTTTGTTTAGCCCAATGAATGACCTTCTCATGATTTTCTATATTCTGATAACATTCAGATAATTTTATAAGAATATCTTCTATAGTGACTGGAATCTCATGATCACCGCCATCCACATTATTCTTATAAAAGCAAAATATTTTTGATAAGTCGTCTAGACTATATAAGAGATCATTTGATATTGAAGAGTGGTAATAACTATGTACATCACTAGTAAATTGATTTATTACTTTGTCAATAGCGTCATAAAATTCTGGTTTATCATCTGGACTACATGTGGACTTTAATTCAAGATTCATTAGTGCATTCTTGAAGTTTGATAACTACAAAAATAAAACGAACAATGTACAAAAACAATGACTAGTAATTTTTTTGCAGGTTGTGCACACAAGCAATTGATTAGATGCGAATCCAAAAGATATCTTTTAAATTACTGTATTTAAGGATTTCTGACAAGTTGACATGAGGCTTTCTGTGAATAATTTTTAAATATGTCATATGATCCACGAACAGCAATAAAGATTGAGTAGGATGCACGATATCTTTTGAAATGGACCTATGAGCTCGCACACGTATATTCATCGTCAAAAGGCTGTTTTTATTATCTTTGTACAGAAGATGGTGTTTGGTATGTGATAGTATTTATGAATGAATCAGAAACTTCGTCTGTACCTTTCGACAGTAATAAGAGAACAGTAAAGCTTGAATTCTTCCGGACAGAAGTAAACACGAATACTAGTAAGGTTATAAGTGTTGTCATGTTTCTCGTTCAAAACAGACAATATTTTCTCCATCGTATTGGATGTAGTAAAAATAACACACAACTATATGGTAAGTAGTAGGAAAATCAGAGCACAATTCTTACTATGGTCAGAAAAAAAGCCCTAATGTTTCCGATTGCTGCTTATACTCTTACTACCTCTACCACTATGGGATTTGAATCGACAACTGCATCTCTGCGCTAATGTGGTATGGCAACTCGAACTGATGTACGTACATACAAAGTTCTACGTTGTTACTGATTTACTATTTTTTAAAAGTGTCACTACCGTTAAGAAGCATATCTATTTTGACAAGCTACTACTTCTAATGAGGTGGCCATATTAATAGGTTAGAAATGCTTAGTGAACATTTTATCAAAAACCGTTGGAAACGAGAGAGAACTGAATACCCACTTCCTATTACGAAGTAAAAACCATAGATTCAGTGCTTGTCATGAGCACAGTATTACTTAGCCACTAAGACAGAGTTTATTGATTCGCAGTTTCTAAATCCACTCAATTCATAACATACTGCAGTGAGTAGCTGTTAGATCACTAATTTTGGAAAAAGTAGTGTCTGTTTTCGGCTTTTCCAAAAAAATTATATGTCTCATTAACATGAGATGTAAATCAACTACTCAGATGACAAATACATTATGTTTTCAAAGCCAAAAATTAAAACAATATGAAAAGATTAAACCGTCAACTAACATCTTTAGAATGAATAAAATGTGTAGCAATACCAGCCCATACAGTATTCATGCTAGATAACTTATATCCAGTTAATGCTAAAAATAAACCAAGTCCTGGATGAGGAAGTCGTGGTAGGAAATAGCCACCACCAACATCAGGAAAAAAACCAATCATTGTTTCAGGCATAGCAAAAACTGTTTTTTCCGTAGCTATACGGTATCTAAAAAATATTAAAGTCAACAGGATTGTGAAACAATAAGTAATATCAAATAAATAGAATAGATGGGATTAAAAGTAAAGAAGTAACAATTCTATAAGATCGCCCCAGTGATTAGTAACTTTATTTACTTGTTCGTTTAATGAACATAAGTAACTAAAGGGATCTGCATAATTAACCTAACCTTTAAAAAAACTATTGAGAATGGGCTATCAGGGTACTATTTGTAAAAACAGGTATTTCCTAAGGTTTTCAATCGTAAGTCATTAAAATAATATAGAACACAAACGGGGACAGTGTAGAACCTGACATAAATGCCTATCAACTCAGGCTGCCATTCTCTACATAAACGCCAAAAGAAAAATATATAAATGAAAATAAAGAAACTAAAACTACTAGACAATTAAAAGAAACAAAAAACAAGACATGACAGAGAATGAAAAATGTGAAACGATGCAATTTCCAGAGCTTACGCAAAGATAATGAATGTACTTAGACTTGTCGGTTCGCCCAATTTAAAATACATCTCATATTGATAATCAATCAATTCCTTAGCTAATGCTTTGTCATCTAAAAGTTCTCTAACTTTATTCGGGTTTCCTTTATCCATTATTCAGATATTTTCCCGCTCGAATTTGTGGCCATAACTGTATATACCTTTTGGTATAAGAGATATGTTGCAAGGTTTCATGGCTGATTACTTTTCATACGAACAAAGATGAAAGAGTCCATTTTGTTCAATGTAGTTCCTCCTATAAAAGCAAACTAACTACCAAACGTTAGAATGTATTTTAGCTTATTTCTATGCATTTAGACAATCGCAAGTACATATTCTACCAGCAAAATGTCAAAATCTTGGATAGAAATGACATCACAAAAGTCAAAAAGTTTTTAGAAGCTTCGCTGACATAGAAATAAATTGAACCTGAACTAATAGTTTAAAATCGATTGCGAGAGAGTGACTCACAAAGCTGATATTCTCCAATCATATATGACACCTAATCATATTTATTTTAAGGGGTGAGAAGAATAATGTAAATCACAGTAAAATGTCGAACATAAGTCAGTTTAATAGGAACGATTAAAAGAGGGATAAAAGGGATTGAATAATAGTGAGATAAAGAATGACTAAATTTGCTATATTGTGATGGATTTCGGATAGTGTTGTCCAGGGTCTCTAACTTTTTATCTAGATAAATAAGTAGTGATCATAAAACAACAAATATACTTGAGTAAAACATATAGTTGTGGAAACATGGTTAGCTAAAATTTTTACCTTCCATGTACTGATATTCCTGCACCACCACCCATTGTGATTCCATTCAAAATAGCAATATATGGTTTGGTCATTATCCCAATAAGATGATTTAATTGATACTCTTTACGAAAGAATTCTTGAGCAGCAAGACTTCCTTTTTGAACAGCAGATGCAATAAAACGAACATCACCACCAGCGCAGAATGCCTTCTCACCAGAACCTTCTATAACAACAAGTGAGACCTGACATAAAGAAAAATTAAACGATTACCGATGGATCGTGGTTCCAGTCTTTTAATTTGGAATGAATAATTTCTAACATTTCAAGATTCAGGGAGTTGTGGACTTTTGGGCGGTTGAGGGTGATGATACCACAAGACTTGTGCTGTGAAATCAAAACCACATCCGAATTGAACGCACATGAGGTTGAACGAAAATGTCTACATGCAATTGAAATTACTGCCTTGGTTTTCAATAGTAGAATAAAGGAAGTACTGTCAGATGTTTTTCAGGATGATAACCAGCAAAGTGATTTAAGGATTGTCACGTATTTAATTTTTCAAAAGAAAAAGTAAAATAATTGAAAACATTCGATAAAAATGGATAGCTTATGTTGAAAAGTTACATATTGCTACAGAAAAGCTTAAGTGCTCTGATTTCACTATTAGCTGTTCTAAGAATTTATTCCTACCAAGTTTATCCAATTATTAAATATAACAGGACCTCCTTTAAAGTTAGGATCGTATTACTCAAATAAGTAGTCTAGCAACAATACAACTAATCTCTTTTGCAAAAATACATAATAAAAGTGTTCGGACAAAATATATGGTAGCGACCTAACAACTACCATCACAAAACTAAGGAAGTGACTACACATAAATAATAGTTCGGAAACGAGGAGCCACAGATGTAATACAGACTAGCCCAGAAGAAAGTGGAATAACTTTCTACGGAACACATTGACAAAACGACAAGTAGCCTGTTGTAAAATGAGCAGAAGTGTACATTGATTTTATTCAGTAAATGTACATTCACTCAACTTTCAGCCACTTTTGAATGAGAGTAAGTGATACTGATCGGCTGTCAAAACTAAAGTAAGTGGGGAGGTTGAGACAAAAGTTAGGTGCCTTAACCATCAATTCAGAAGAGTGAGTGGTGGAGGTTAGACGTATTCATTTGAAACTGACATTTTCCAACAAAAATTTAAACCTAAGAGGAACATGTTGTTTACCACGATAATTTCGCTACTCTCCACAATGTGGCATTGATTATGACATAATTAGAATATGTCCTACAATTAACACTCTTAAACTTACGCGAAATGCACATTTTCATGTGTACTAGTAGATACAGATTGAAGTTAAAGTGGCTGAGCCTGAAATTCAGATGATTGAATCAACAAACTGAGTAGTAACAGAAACATTTAATCACTTTTGGACTGTTGTCAGTAGATCTAGCGGGAATCTTAAGAACAGACCTACTGATAGTGACTCAACCATGAACATGAGTTTAGAAAAGAAACCATGATAACTTTTCTTGAAGTTTGAAAAAGCTCAAACTGCGTAAAATAACATCAAATTAACATATATGTACGATGGTTTGTTCATCGTTTAATAAGTCCCGGGACAAAGATTTACGTACATGACTGGAACACCGTACCCGAACAGGTGGTATCAGCTCTATCAGTTAATATTTTCAAGAAACTGGACGTTCACTGGGAAACAATCTGTCAAGATTAACACAGGTTCACCAAAATACTATCCTTATTACTGAAGAATGAAGGCATACCAAGTATTTGGTGAACTTATCAGAGGTTAATCGGAACTGGGTCATGAAAAAGTTATAAGGCAAGATAGTTCTGTAATGAAACACTGAAGTGTGAAGCGCAACTAAATTCGGCCCCGTTAAGACGTATTTGTTGTGGGTTTGAGTTAGTATGATTGCAAAAAAGATATTTGGCATTCGTACGAGGTGATGATCCCAAGCTCCCAATTTTGGGGAGCTTTGGGGATATTTTGGGGAAATCCCCAAAGTTAAACAGCCTTCCCCAAAGTTTGGAGAAATTTTGGGTAAATCCCCAAAGGTTGGGGAAATTTTGGGGGTTTTGTGCCATTTCCCCAAAGTTTATAATGGCGGCTTCCTCAAAATATCCCCAAAATTGGGAGCTTGGGATTATAAACATCATTATAGTGACTCAGAAAGTTACGAAGTATTACAATATAATGACGTGCCAGGATTAATATACTAGTAGGTGTTAAGCAAACTGATTTAAACGAATCCTGTACGAAGTGGACTCTACAGTCATAATTGCTGGTGTCTACTAGCAAGTTTCTATTAACTATAGTTAATACTTTGTACCTACACGTATATTACTTGAGAATATCCGTAAAAAATGCCAATGAAAAAGCTTACCTAATACCTAATATTCGCATTATTAAAAAAGTGTCCACAAGAACATAATAGATAACGAGAATTCAAAACCCAAGCGAGAATTTATCCAAATAGTAAATGAGTGCCAAAACACAGCAGTATAAACAAACAAAGATTTTAGTCTTCAATCTTCAGTAATAAGGATAGGAGGTCTATCGACCTGTATTAATCCTTGCAGTTTGTAATACTGTGGAGGTCCAATCTCGTCTTGAATATATCAACAGAAGGTGCTGATATTACGTGTTCCGGTAGAGAATTCCAGTAATTCACTACTCGATGAGAGAATCGAAACTCCAGACGTAAACGATTTGATGTCGGTTTTTGAATTTTTTTCGAGTGTCCTCTCAAACGATCAGTCCTAGTCGGAAGTAAAAGATAGGACATATTAATACCAAGGTCATCTTTCAGTATACGATAAGCCAATATTAGGTCAACCCATACTCGACGGTAAGATAACGGAAATAAGTTGAGGTGTCTCAATCTGTTTTCATAAGATAGTCCAGAGAAACCTTGTACCAGAATGGGAGACCTTATCGAAAACCTTACTTGGATCTATGAAGATTACATCTACAGGAATATTCTGATCTTTTGCAGCAGCACAATCTTCTCTTGCAACGAGATTTGTCAAGCACGATAGGCCTCTCCGAAAACCCTGTTGTTCCCTGGAGAAAAGACTATGCCTTTCAACATAGTTTATAACAGATATCCGAATGATTTTTTCCATCAGTTTTACAGCTGCACTAGTTAAGCTAACGGGTCTATAGTTACTAACTAAATCCCTACTCCCAGCCTTATACACCGAACTTATTATAGTGTTTTTCCAGTCTCTGGGCAGTCTTGACTGCTTCAAAGACATGTCAAACAGTATCGCTAAAGGTTCAGCAATTACATCTGATATGGCTTTCATAATCCTAGGATGAATATTATCAGGACCACTGGACTGGTTAGCACCAAAACGTGTAGGTTTGGATACATGCTGCATTAATGCATGCTCCATTATTGTTATCACGAACCTACTATCAAAGGAGTTTATAGATCCTTCTGTGGTCATCTCAGTCCAACTAATGTCAGGTGCATTAAAGTCTCCTATTATCAAGCATCTGGCATTGGTACTCCAAAGATGAATGTGCTCTAAAATAAAGTCATCAGCTAAGCAGATTGGGTTGAGATAGATGACACCGAGCATAAATGTACTACATCCGATATCCAATTTACAGCTAATGACTTCACAAGTGCCGCTGTCATGGGATTCTCTAACAGAGGAGCGTATATTTATATTATTGGCTATATATAACAGGACGTCACCTCCTTTCCTACATCTGTGTCTATCACTCCTTAGGTAATAGTATCCCGATAATTCTGGAGTAATGTCTAAGTCATGGACTAACCAAGTTTCTGTCATTGCTACGATGAGTGGCCTTAATCTGTCCACTAATGCTTCTAGCTCATAGAACTTATTTTTTAGGACACGAGCGTTGGCATATAAGACTTCTAGGTAGAACGGTCTATCCACACAGGCCTTGGTAGCATTAGCTTCCAAGACCTGACTATCCGAAAACCCACTAACCGGAGATTTTCCTCACCATTTTGTCGGCGGATATTTAGTTCAGCTAGTGCTGTCTTTCCTTTTATTCTGTCTTCGAGAGACATATCAAGTCTAACTCGGATATCGGAATTGTCGTGACAACGAGCATTACTTAACAGGAGATCCCGTTGCTTCTCTGATCCTAGGATTACCTTAAGGAGTCTGCATGGTCGAGGTTCAGCATTGTCCTCGGTCCTCTTGCCTATTCTAACCAGCTTTTTGACCTGGACTCCTTTAGATTTATCTGGTAAGATACTACGAATATATTCTCCCAACTTCTCTAAATCATGCACATGTCTAATTTTGGGGTCAGGGTCGTTTGACTCCAGCAATTTGCTTACAATAATATTCGATGATATCAGATTCTTCTTTTCAGTCACGCCTGGGTGGGTTTCCCTCTTACGATCGGATTTTGGTAGTGCGTTTTGTGACTCACAATGAGAGTCCACCAATGACTTGCTAACAACCTGCACACTGCCCACAGCCTTTAACTTTTCGCTTCGTTTTTTCCGTACTGTAGTCCATTTTTCATCCCTCAGGACAACGAGACTATTTGGAACAGTGACGGTCTTATTCAGATCTTCAGTTTCCACTAGAGGTGCATGATTACCGATGTCAGTTTCAAGTTGTGCCTCTTCCCTCGTTAATGTTAACGGAGATTTCACTTTTCCGTCAATCAAATTCGAGTGTTTGAGGCGTCTTGTAACAACAGGTACTACACTGACACATTCGTCACTGTCAGTGCTCGTGTTATCAGCGCATGCACCAAAGCAAATAGGCTCATAGCCTCTTGTATTAGTAACGTCTTATTTGCACAGCAAAACATGCAAAGCCAATGTGAGTTAGGCTTCGAACATCTGTTGTACGCAGTGGGATTTAGACGAGTGCACATCTTATGGAACCACCTTTTGCATTCATCACACTTCATTCCTTCCTCCACAGGGAACAAACAGTGTGGTTGTCCACATTCGTGAGTACTACCAACAGTTTTAGTCAGATTAAGGTATATAACACAATATGATCACTAGTGTCAGTCAATGAGGAAAAGGGTACCACAAGACAAACCTTAGCAAGATTTGAAAACTTAACTTAAGTGCTTTAATATAGACCAAGAATGTTTTTGATGCAACAATTACACAAAAGCAAGGATAATCACAACAAGTTTTCCATTAGTTGAAACATTACGATTTTCCAGAACAAGTCCTGGTGAAGAACTGCTACAAACGGAGTTTTATTATTTTTGGTGTTTGTTACTTCATAGTACAATTAATAAAGTGGTTGTATCAGTCAAATCGAATGACGCCGTTTATAAAACACTATATCCTGCATATCGCAGACAAAACAGAGATTTCGGGGCAGTGAAAGAAATGTTAGTGTGAGGAAACTTGAGTATTTAGTTTAGGACGGCAGGAGGGCTTAGCCGATATTGTGTGCTTTTTCACAATCTTAAGTCAATAATTATGAGATGGAAAGCGTCTCAAGTATCTCTAGTATCCTCTGTTGGCAGACCTTGTTGATACAGCTTATAAAAAGCTGACAGATAAGAGATTGTTTCTCATACGTAAATTTCACTTATACAGTGTGGGACGCATACTAAGAGGAATAGATGTAAATTAACAAGGCAGTAAGAACTTGCTCAAAACATTGTTCATTGTAATCAATACAGCTGCAAGTATACAACGAGTTATCTGGTGATGGTGGCGGTTAATCGTTTAGACAAATGAGACCACATTCATACCCAGACTAAGAAGGCATTAAAATGTTCAGAGTTAACAGTAATTGACAAGGGAAAATTAAGTGTTGAAAAGTGAAGTTGGATACGTATGTATACAGTATGCTCTATAACATTACAATTACACGTAAAATGGTCAGGAAACGTTATGAATCGATCTATATCAGTCAGTCATATTAACTGACGACACCATTGTGTTTGTAGCAGTGAACAACTCGCCAAAATAAATAGTTCTGTCAGTATTCGATATTTGAGGCTGACGTCACCAGTTTTGCTGTACACACCTAACCGAAGGCGCTCGGCTACGCATCCACATCAGATAACGAGTATCTATGCCATGCATTTTTTCTCGTTCATTGTTATAATATATCTTCATCATGACAGAAAAGCACCTTAGTTATTTCGGATTAACACTCTTTTTCCTCCCACTTTTCAGCCCATGCAATTCTGGCCTGACAATATGAAAGCCTGGTTTCGCTACACAGAAGCTGACTTGCCTGAGCTTGGTATGACACACTCACGTGTACAATTTCTCGTGGTGGTGAAGACACTACTATGTACTCCTAAAAGGCAAGTCATACCCAGTATGACTACTAGTGATGATTTTGAACCTTACGACACTTTAAAGGTTATCCTTATAATTGAAGATCTAACCGACCATCAAATGTTAACTTAGCTATTCTACAACATCGATTTGCAACAAAATTCAATGATAGAAATGTTGCTACGTATGCCGGAGGTCATTGATCAACAAACCTTTGACGAGGGCTTGTTTAGACAGATCTTGTCTAGGCTTCCCCAATAGGTGTAGGTGGTTCTTGTCTCGTCTCAAAGTAACGCCGTATACAAACTGAACGTATTTGCCAATCGTATTCTGGAGATCACAAAAACCCCTAACGCCAAAATTTATTCCGTAAGGTAGAAGCCTCAAACCACAAAAACTGACGTCACAGACCTAGGCTAAAATCCGACTCGTTATATTAGTATTTATTATAATCAAAGACGCTCCCAAACTGCTCTAAGGAGTTCTTTACGAAAGAGATCTGTCTCAAGACCACGGAAGGCAGACAATCCAGATCGGTGCTGACACAACAATAGATATGATAAGTCCTCTAGAAATCTCAGAAACCTTACAGTTTCCCGAGCTCCAAACCGTCCTGCAGGAAAACGTTCTCGGAAAACCTTCCTGCCGATACGCGTTAACGGTAATCGTAGCCGGCGATCGCAGATGTCTGTTGTACATCACTGATGTGATGACAAAAGTTAGCTATCTCGTTGACACTGTAGCGGAATTTTGCATTCTCCTCATAGGAGATCTGCATGAACCAGTCTTCAAGTTACAGACAGCATACGAATAAACGATCTCCACATACGGTAAAAGATATGTTTATCTTAACGTGGGCTTGTAGAATTATGGTCTACTTCGATATTAGTATCACTATGATAATAGACATAATCCTAAAATTGCAGATTTGTCATGATATAACTGCCTAATTTACATCAACCCATCGCACCGTAACAACCGCCAATACATGGTGGAGAACAAACTTAGGCAAGGGATAGAATAAGATATTTAATATGAATGAGAGGTATATGACAGCACTCAAGAGTGACCACGCCTGCAAGCTTGAGTCACGCCATCCGACTAACTACAATTAATGCAATTCATTCATCCCTCCTCCTCCATCGTTGGGTTTTCCTCCGTGTTTAATATTGAATGTCTATTTTCCCAGCTGTCTCGTATTCAGCTTTGAGGATTGTGTGTTTAGGGTCCGATGTCAATACAGGTCTACTCAAACACGCTCACTCGATTTTCGTTGTTGCAGATGTTTTTATGCTAATCATTGGTAAAGACCTGCTACAATATCATA